AGCTGGACAGGAGGAAGAACTTCTTTGCTGGGCAGTGACCCAGCCCTGAAGAGAGCAGAGAGGGTGTGGAGTCTCCTCACGGGATATTCCAGAACCATCTGGACACAATCCTGTGCCATGTGCTGTGGGATGGCCCTGCTGGAGCAGGGAGGTTGGACAGGTGATCCACTCGGTCCCTTCCTGCCTGTCCCCTCTGTCCATATCTCCGGGTCAGTGTCACTGTCACTGCCCCCCCATCCCCTCACACTCCCGGCCCCGCCCCCCCGGGCCCCTTTAAGCGCGCGCGGGCGGTGCCGCTGAGCTCTCGCGAGACTAGCCGCCCCTCCCCGGGACTACACTGCCCAGCGTGCCCCGCGCGCGCGCGGAGGGGTGGTGGCCAATGGCGCTGCGCCCCGCCGGCGGCGGCCCCCCCTCCCCGGAAGTGACGCGAGGGGCCCCATGTGAGGCGATTGCAACACATGGTGCGCGGCGCGGGGGAGCGCGAGCACCGCGTGCGACGTCAGCGCCGCGCGCCGGGGGGAGCGGGCACCGACCGCGCCCGGAGCCGCCGGGCCCGCACGGCAGCGCCCGGCACCCGCCCCGGCCCGCCCCGCCGCACCGCGCCCCGGCCCCGCCGGACCCGCCGCCGCACAGAAGATGGCGGACGACCCCAGCGCCGCCGACCGCAACGTGGAGATCTGGAAGATCAAGAAGCTCATCAAGAGCCTGGAGGCGGCGCGCGGGTGAGCGCCGGGCCCGGGGCCGCCGCCCCCGCAGCGCTGGGGGGGGCCCGGCCCGAGAGCGGGGCCGCGGCCGGGGCGCTGCCCGGGCCCGAGCGGGGACGCGGCGGGGCAGCGCCGGGCCGGGCCCTTTGTGCGGCCCTTGGGGGGGCCGTGCGGGGCCGGGGGGAGCGGGACCGTGCTCCCCGCACCGGAGGGGCCGCGGCTGCCCCGGGCGGGGCGGCCCCGCACTCGCTCCCCCGCTTCTGCCCCCGCACTCCGGGCGGGCGAGGCCCCTCCGCCCCGCGGGCCGGCTCCGGTGCGTGTCCCGACCGGGACCCTGGGCCCGGTGCGGCCCCCATTCCCGGCCCGCCCGGCCGGCCGTGCCAGCTGGCACCGCGGGCGGGCGGATTCCAGCCGGAGGAGACGCTCCCGTGCCCCCCGTGCAGCCTTGGGCTGCTCCCAAGGGACCAGCTGGGCCAGGGAAGGAGCGGGGCGAGGGCAGGGAGCAGGGGCTGAGGCAGCGCTGACTCGAGTGCTTCTCTTACTGACACTCACTTGATCTGTCTCACCCCTTCCAGGGAAGGGCTCAGCTCCATTCCCCTGAAAGCAACCTTTTCCAAAGTTTGGGTAGTGTTAAATTTCAGGTCTCTAATCCCACTTATATCCTCCTGGCACTTTGATTTCTTTTTTTCTCACCAGAAGTAAAATTGCTGGTTGTTCCTGCAGCTGCCTCATGCCAAAAGTGCCTGTTTGGGTGGGTAATTCGACAGTGGTTGGTTACATTGGTCGAGGACCCACTTGGGCTCGAGGAATTGTGCGATCTCAAGGTTCTGGGGCTGTAAAATAGCAAAGAAAGTGTGTCTCGGGATATACTTTCATAAAATAAAAATGAAAGGTTATTCCTTGGCCAGCCCCGTGGCTCCAGTTTCCACAGGCTCACCTGAGCAGGTGTCTCTGTACCTGGGGCACCACTGGCAGTGTTCTGTGCCCCACAGAAGCCTTGGGACAGGCTTCTTCACAGAGGCCCAGCTGCCCTTCTGCCATTTCCTCAGTGCCGGGGCTTGTTCTGTGTGGAGCAGGGTGGGGAATCATTGAGCTGAAAACTAACCCAGGCAGGAGGGGAACTTGAGCCACAGATCTCCCTAAATATACTTTACTCTGATATATGATGCAGCTGTGCAGGGCTGGGGCTGTGGGAGAAGGGAGTGGGGAGCCTGGGCTGCCCTTCCCTGTGGCAGAGTGGACTTTGGCTGCCAGAGCTGATCACTGGGCTGTGCCTTTGAACAGCACAGGTTGTGCCCACAGGGGTCCCAGCAAACACAGAGCTGCTGCCTGGAAGCACAGAGGGCTTGAGAAGCCACAGGCACCCACTGCAGCCTGTGAAATAGGTGTCTGTAACAGCACTGGGGGAGGCTGGGGGGAGTTGGGAAGTGTAGACTTGGCATTTTGGGTCTCCCTGATTAGGAATGTGCCCGCCTCTAGTATTGTTTGGGATAGGAGAAGGTTAAGGTATTGGAGAGCTCCTGGCAGAGGGGAGGCTGAGGGGCAGTGGCTGTTGGGGGTATCAGCTTCCTGGGGCCACAGCCCAGGTGCCTTCCGTGGTCCCCATCAGTGACCCCTGGCACACCTGCTTTGTGGTAAAGGTGCCATGGGCACCGTCAGATCCGTGTGGGAGGTTTAGCTGAGCCCCCTGGATCCAGCACCTCTCTTAGGTGTTGTGATCCTGCTGTTCCTTGGTTAAATATGTGCCAAACCACCACCTGAGGAAGGTGCTGATGGCAGCAGTTCTTAGGCTGCTTGTGTGGGAATGCGTGTCGTGCTTCCAGGGAGCCCTGGCTAAAATTAGTCTAGTTTGGGTCCAGTAAGGAGAAGAGATGCTGCAAATTGTGCCAGCTGCCCTGCACAGGAGGTGTGAGCAGTGGAACAGGCTTTTCCGGCCTTTGGGAGAGTCGCTTCCTCTTCCTGTGGAGTAGGAAGACCTGTTCTGGGGTGGGTTAGGGGGCGCAGCCTTTGAACAGGGTGATGTGGAGGGCCAAGGACTCCTTGGCGTTTCCACCTTCCCTTACTCATGTCCTCCTAATAGTGACCCAGCAGAGTGTCCCAGTTTCATGTGCTGGTTGTTCCTGCAGTGGATCAAAGGGACAGGAAATGGAGGAAGCTGGAGTTAGACATTCCGTTGGCATGTGGTGGTTGGGGCACCTCTGCTCTTATCCAGCTGTTTTGGGAAAATCCCAGTGAAGTCTGCAGGATGTTACCAAAATGTGAAGTGGGCAGGAGAGCAAGGAAGTGCTTTTATGGAGTGTGGGATAGATGAGGGAAGGGGCAGTGCTTGGTCAGAGCTCTGAGGGGGAAGATTGGAGCTTCAGCTTTACCAGCTGGTCAGCTGGAGGCCAGCGAGGGTGGGACTGCCTCAGACTTTGAGGTAACACTCTGGCGGGAATGCCCTGGATTGTTTTCCCAGCCCTGCTAAGGAAAGCAGGCTCTTTCAGTGATGTCTATAGAAAGAATCTGTCAAGTCAAAATAATGAGAAACAATTTTTAACCCCCCAACCCCTGCTCAAAGCCCTGTCTCTGCTGGCAGGACTAGAAGGAGCTGGTATCTGTGACTTGCTTCCTAAACCAGAAGTGTGTCTTATCTGCTCCCAGCTCTTTCAAAGTTGACTTGCAAATTGTCTGACCCTGTACAAAGTTAATGAGTTGATGTTTGTGATTTGGGGAGGTGGGAGGGAAGTAGCTGGGTCCCTGCAGAGATGTGTGAGGGACAGCACTGAGATCCAAGTTCAGCACTGCAGGCAATTAACCTTCCTGGCCAGAAGAAGATGAGGTGAAAGGCTGGTCATGAGCCAGTTATGGCCTTGACAGAAGTCCAGCCTTGTCATTCATCTCTGAGAGCTTGGAGTGCTCAGACTTTCATCAGACATCTCTGCTTCTCCCCTACACAGGGATTCATTCTGCTTTCAGTCCATAGGCAGGTTTTGTGGAACAGATTTGGTGAAACACTGTGCCCCCAGAAGTTGCAGCTGTGTCTTCCCAGGTGAAGGTTGGAGCAGCCCAAGTAGAAGCAGTATTAGCCACTGTTTTCCCCTTATCCTCTCTCAGGGCTTTTCTGCTGTTGCTTCATGCAGTTTTCCAGTGTCAGTGCTAAACTGACAATCCCTCTTTGTTCCTTTGGTCTCTGCAGTTCTGAATAGTTAGCTGGGCTATGGGCAGGGTTTTTTGCTAATCTAAGCTGTAAATGCTTGGCAAAATCAAGTATCAGCAACAACAAGCAGTCTCTTTGCTAGGAGAGGACCTGGGGTGTCACATCTGAATTGTGTTTGGAAAACTTCAGGTCTTAGAAACAGGGGCTTTCTTTGTGGAATCAGAAATGGTACTGACACCTTCAGAACAGGTGGGCATCCTGACCCCAGATGAGCGTGCAGGAGATGCTGGTGCAGCGTGTGGATCTCCCTTACAGTGGTAAAACCTTCAGGAACCCGTTCCCTGGAGACATCTCCCGCACCTGAACTTGCTCAGAGCAGTAGCCCTTGATTACTTCACTGAAACTAGGAAAGAGGAGGCAAAAAGCAGGGTGTCTCTGAAGGCTCTGCCTGCAAACACAACTGAGGCTGACAAACTGTGTGTAGAAGAGTATTTTTTCCAAATTAGGTGTTTTGGAAGGTGGGGGGAACAGGGCAAATGCAGAAACTAAGTCTGAACAAGTAACTTATTCTGGTTGTAACTGGAAGAAATGTTTCCAAGCAGGAGAATGGTGAAATGGCAAGAGAAAGAGAAGTTTTGGTGTCTCCAAAGCTGTGGGAAAGCAAAGTAATGCTGTTTCCTGCCTGGGTTTGGATTCTGCCAGGTTGAGACTTGGATCTACTATGTGGGAGAAACCAAATGTGAGAGATATAAAAAGTCACCAGGAAGGACAGAGGACTGAAAATACATGGGAATTCCTACAAAGTGGAACGTAGTTCTGCTTGAGGGTGGACAAGCTTGTGTGTTTTTTGGACATAAAAGATTTGCCCAACTTGCTTTGCCCAGAAAGCATCATTTGCAGGTAGGTTCTCCTGCAGTCCATCTGGAGTCTTGCTGGTCCTGATGAAAAGGGCCCAACCTTGAAATTAGCCACACAGTGCTGCTGTTTCCCAGCCTTGTGCAACAGGGACAGGAGGCTGTGCTTCTGCACACCCTCCTCTGGGGTGTCCTGGGACGGTGTCGTTTTGTGACCAGGCAAGCTGGCAAGACTGAGACCTGTCTGGTGATTTTGGAGAACAAACAGGATAGTCTTGACCTGTTCCACCGATGGGCCTTTCCAAAAGCGGCCCAAGAGCCCACCTTCCTGTGAGTTAACACCACAGCACCAGCTGCTGGGCTGCATCTGGGGGGTAACTGGGGCCAGTGACAGCCATGTCCTGTGCTGGTTTGCCTTGTTCCCAGTTTCTTTTGAACAAAAGCCTGGGAAACTGCTGGTGCTGGGGTTCTCTTGTGCTGCACTAGTGAGCCGGATTTCCCCCCTGGATTAGGCAAAGCAAATTCTCAGTCACTCCTGGGAGCACCTGCAGCACTTGCCTGTGGATGGATTGTCCATCCATCCACAACTTGGTGGCAAGTGCTGTGCAGCTTCATGGTGCTGAAGGTGCAGCTGTGCTGGAATGACTTGGACTGCAGAATAGTTGATGTTCAACTCTGATGTGGATTCTCTTTCTGCTCCATCCCAGGCACAGCACCCTGGGTGCAGGGATGTACTCTTGATTCAGTGTAACACCACCACCGGGTCCAGGCAGGTATCAGTGCAGCTGTCTTGGCTTAAAGGGATGTCATGTACCAGGAGGAGCATTTGGTGTGGGATTTCATCCCTGTGACTGGCTTCTGGCTGCACTGCCAGAGATGTGTTGATCCAGATGCTCCCTCCCCTGCTCCCAGGCTGGCAGCAGATCTTTTCTTTATCAGGATGTGCTTGTTGTTGTGGCTGTGCCTCAGGTCTGGGCTCTCTTGATATAGGATCTGTTTCTGCAGAGCTGGAGATTTCACCTTAG